TTTTTAATTTTGTGGTTTACACTTTAGATATAAATGGGCTAATTTCTAATAGAAATACATATGAATAATAAATTTTGGTATTGAGTTCAGTCGAGACCTAAATTATAATAATAAAAAACATTCTTTATTGTTTATTTGTATTTGTAAAATATGTTGGAACCTCAAATCGATAATAAATTAGAGTATAGATTCCTAAACTTTTATACATTGCCACTCACTTTTTAGAAACCCAACCCAAACAACCCACTTAATATATTTTTAATATTTCGTACAATTTGGGAAACGGTGAATTTGGTTATTTTTATCTCATTTTTTTTGTAATTTCCTTCCCAAGCCAAAAAGTTAGAAATAAATCTGTTATCATATTTTCTTCATATATCTTTCACTTCACTTCTGCTGATTTTGTAGGTAACGAATGTACATATTTTTTTATATTGTAGTAACCTCCATAATATATAAAAAAAAACAATTGTAAAAGAAAAATATTTAAGTAATAATTAATTATCATCGTAAATTAAAATTAACATAAAAGTATTTCATTTATTATTTGTTTTGGAAGGGAGATAATCAATTGACTTTCATAATGAAATATAAACGTGTTTATGAAACAATTCATAAACACTTCGCTCATTTGGTGCAAAGTACCAACAACCTTTGTAAATTTAAGGTTACCCACGATACAAGCCCCTATTTGATTTCATACCATTTATATTCTTATGAAACAGAAAGATTGTCTTCTAGAATTTTTTAATTGATGCGGTATTATAGCTTCATATGCAATTGGCAAATTAGAATAGGCGAATTCGATTTTGAAGAACTCATCCAAATTTGAATTTGAGAAATTTTTATTTGGATGACGCAGGCAAATTTGAATTTGGTAGCTACTGGAAAATTTTAATCTGAGACACACATGCAAATTTGAATTTGCCAATTAAAACCATTACATTTGTGAATTGTTAGACATCTCGGATTATGAATATGTTTATTATGTTTAGATATTATTCAATGCATAATCAAATACTAGTTTGCACTTATAATTGGGTATTAATTCTTATGCAATACCGTGCATCAATTATTGTGCGCATTCATACATTGAATCATCAGACAGAAAAATAAATGGACTTTTGTTCGGTCGTTCATACCATAACGGTTAACAATTGCTTCAATGTTAACATTTATTATTAATAATATATAATCATTTTATAATAAACATATAAATTAAAAATATTAATTTTATTTTTGTATACTAATTATTTTGATTTTTATAGAAGAATTAGTGTTGTTTTGAAAAACACAATTATATTACTCATTCATCGCACAAAACACAATCGAAACGGCCTATTTTGATGCTACATAAAGAAATACGTAATTAAAGCCTCTGCACTTTCACTAAAGATTAAAATTGAAGATGTCGTCATACCTCTGACATTAATAAAATTTGGTTGTGCCAAAAATATTGGTAACATGTTCTCAATATGACATAATTGTATCAACCTCGCATAAACAAACATATACTATTTCATAACAACCGGCTTTCAATTGTTACAGTCCGTTCAAATATGTAAATAAGTCCACAATTTGTTGTAATAATAATGTTAACGATTATAAAAAAAAATATAATTAATATAATCAGTTAGCGTAATAGTTTATTTTTAAATATTATTATAATTACTAAATTCCGACTATATATGCACTTTGTAACTCTCATTTAATATATAAACAACGTGTAATTGTTGACTTAGTATACCCAATAATTATACACATTATGTTTAAAATTGTTGTTCATGTTTTATTGTTCAACATCGCATTAACCTTGAAATGTTACTATTTTAACTCAACGTATATTTTTCCATTTGTGATTTTAAAGGTGATCCATGTGACGTGTCTCATGTTTATATTTTTTTAAGATATACATTGTTTTTAAAAAAAAATATTTTATATTAATTAATGATAAATCTACTGAAATAACAATTTCAACGATAAAAGTCATAAACAAAATGAAATAATAGATTAGATGCAAATAGCACAGCATTAACGCATATATAAATATATATCATCAAATGTGTATATCCAATAGACATTTTAAGTAATAAATAGATATTCCTTGCATAGTGCGAATAATCGCCAAAATCCTGGACTATTTAGAACTGGGGTAATTGAGAAACCAAATATGGTAAAACGTCGATTATCTGTGGTAACTTTATATCTATATATTAATTTACAAAAACGCATTTTGAATTATTTTAAAACGTAATTTGTATTTTTTTTAATGTTATCCTTGTAAAATCAATTACCAAACGGCAGATTTGCATAGACAATTTGATTGTTTAACTTATAAAATAAGATAAAACCAAGCCGGCCGCGATCACGATTAACTCAAACCATAGGAAATTCAGAAAAATAAACCGCTCAAAAAAAGACTTAGGGCAGCAAACTTCTTTTAATTATTATTTTTATTATTTTTTGAATTACCCTTACTGTATATACAATTATGATCATTTGAACTTATTTGCAATTAATAAATTGGAAATCCCAGAGGACATTTACAACTTTACATAGAATACCTTACACATTTACATTACACTCCTATAAACATAAGTTTTGAACTAATTTCGTTAATATTTAATTTTATTTGTTAATAACCACCCTTTTATTTGTTTTAAATTAATTATATTGTATTTGATATTGTTTAAATTAAAAAAATATAATTATAGATTCAAATAAGTTAAAATTTAAGCTAAAATCATGTTGTAAAATTGAGGTAAAAATAA